CATCTTCATCATCATCATTGTTTTATTATCATTATTTCATAATTGTTATTATTGTTATTATAATTTTATTGTCATATCATTATCATTACTACGATTTTTATTATTATAATTATCATTATTGCCATTATTATTACTATTATTTTCATTATCATCGTAATCATCATTATTGTTATTATTATGATTATTATCATAGTCATTGTTATTATTAGTATTATTATTATCACTATTATTACTATCATCATTATTATTATCATTATTATTATTATTATTATTATTATTATTATTATTATTATTATTATTATTATTATTATCATTATTATTATTATTATTATTATTATTTATTTTATCATTATCATCATCATCATCATTGTTGATGTTGTCGTTGCTATCATTATCATTATCACCATCATCGTTGTCATCATCACATCTATCATTATTATCACCCATATTGATATCATTATGATTATCAATAATAGTAATAGCAGTTCCATCATCATTATCATAGCCACCATCATCAATATCACCTTAATTCCATCCTCATCATTAACACTACCATCATTATCATTAAACGTCCGAAGAGGAAACGAAATAATTAAACCGATAATTAAACCCCTGCCATGACGTCACACATCATGCTGGGATAGTTTCACCGTGTGAGCATGACGGATTACCCTAAAAGAATGGGTATTTTCAGAGTGTAATCTGTCCTTTCATACACTCTATAGAGAGTATATAACACAAGGTTTCTTTTTTTAAAAAATACACTCTATAATGGGTATATAACATAGAGTCTCTTTTTAAAAAAATCTCTGTGTTATACTTAAAATTCCCTCTTTTTTTTCGTTCGTTCACTGTGAATATAACTCCTTTGTATATAAAACAAAGTCTCTTTAAAGAATGAATCTCTGTGATGTATACTTAAAATGTTCCCCTTTTTTCGTTCGATAATTGTGGATATTAATCCTTTAATATTATCCAGACATACTCCGTAGCTAAAGTAAAATTAGATGCATCTTCACGGTGGAAATAACCTGATTAATTTCCACCGTCTGTGTCGGTTTTATTCCCCCCGGTGAAACTAACTTGCTGTGAAACTTTACCCTGTGTTTCTAACCCGTAGAAATTACTAGTTATACCGAACTTGATAGTTTGTGAAAGATTAAATTGCAAACTTATGTTTTTTTTGTTTTTTTTGGATAGTGCATTTTCCCGCCATTTTTTTTATATTTGAAATGGATTTGATAGTTTTTTATATTCTGTTTAATTAGAAATTTAGATTAGATAGATCCTTCTATTATCAAAAATCTTTATCATTCCCTTCCTTAGAAAATGAAGTAGATAGATTGAATGTAAAATCCTGGTCAGTTATATTATTTACTAAGTCACTTTCCTACAACTCAAAACTTCCATCGCTAAATAGACAATTAAAATATACTAGAAAAACAACAATAAAAACAAGTAAATAAACAAACAGACTTCTCCCCCAGCCCACCCACCCCTCCCCCAATCTCAACCTCCCCCCCCCAAATCCATTCCCCCCCCCTTTCCACCACCCCCCACCCTCCCCCATCTCAAATCACCCTCCTCCCCACTCTCCCCCAACATCTTTTCCCCTACCCCCTCCCCATATCTCATCCTCTTCACAACCTTCCACACCTCCCCCATCTCCAAAAATAACCCTCACCCCCCCCCAACGCGCCCCCTCCCTACCTCTTCCCCCATATCTCATCCTCCCCCACCCCCCCCTTCCACCCTCCCCCACCTCAAAATAACCCCCCCCACCCCATCCCCCACCCAACCCCTCCCCCAACACGCCTACCCTCCCTTCCCCTCCCTTTAAATCTCATCCCTCCCTCCCTCCCCCATATCTCATCCCTCCCCCACCCCCACCCCCCTCTCCACTCAACCCCTCCCCAACACGCCTGACCTCCCTCCCCATCCTACCCTCCCCATATCTCATCTCTCCCTTCCCCCCTCCACCCCCCTCCCCTCCCTACTCATCCCCTCCCCCAATACGCCTTTCCCTCCCTTTCCCCTCCCCCCCATATCTCATCCCTCCCCCATCCCCACCCCCCTCCCCAACTCCCCCCTCCCCAACACACCTACCCTCCCTTTCCCTCCCCCCATATCTCATCCCTCCCTTCCCCCCCTCCCCCCATATCTCATCCCTCCCCCCCCCACTCCCACCCCCTCCCCCATCTCAAAATACCCCCCCCCCCTCAAAGAAAAAAAAAAATAACAGCAACTGAAACCCACCCCCCTATTTCTTTTTTTTCTCTCTCTCTTCCTCCTCACCGTCCTGTAGGCGCAGCATCGGCAGGAGACATCCTCAGGGGCGTCGACGTCCCCCTCTACGCCTTCGCAGGAGGTCAAGCCACCCTCAGCTGCTCCTACGACCTCAGGTCAACCCGCCTCTACTCCCTCAAGTGGTACCACAACGGGACGGAGTTTTACCGCTACGTGCCGACCCAGCGGCAGCAGATCAGCATCAAGTCGAGCCCCAAGTTTGCTGTTCACGTGAGTTGGTGTTTTTTTGTATTTATATATATATTATATATATATATATATATATATATATATATATATATATATATATATATATATATATTTTTTTTTTTTTTTTTTTTTTTTTATTATTTTTTGGTTTTTATTGTGATTTTTATTTTTTTTTTTTTTTGTGGTTTTTTTTTTTTTTTGGTTTTTTTTTTTATTTATTTTTTTGTCTGGTGGTTGCTTAGTTTGTGTGTATTTGGTTGTTCATTTTTTTTTTTTTTAGGTGTTGTGTTGTGAAGAAGATTGGTGTTGTGTGCGTTGTGTGTGTGTTGCGAGTGTGTGTGTGTGTGTGTGTGTGTGTGTGTGCGTGTTTGTGTGTGTGTTTTATAGGTGTGATGTTAAGGGATTAATGAGTCTAAAAGACTGTTGTTGTTATTTCTTTATTTGTCTTTATTTGTTGTCTATATCTATATTTGTCTTTATTGTCTCTCCCTTTCTTTCTGTTTATCTATTATTGTCTACGTGTTTTTATCTCTCTCTCTCTCTTCTTTGTCTCTCTCTCTCTCCTACTTTGTCTGTCTCTCTTCTCTTTCTTTTCTCTCTCCCACCGTTCTCCCTCTAACCCTCACCTCTCTCCTTCATTCATCTTCCTCTCTCTCCTCCATCCCTCTTTTCTCTCTCCTCCATCCCTCTTCCTCTCTCTCCTCTCCCTCCTCTCTCCTCTCTCTCCTCCATCCCTCCTCTCTCTCTTCTCTCTCTCCTCCTCCATCCCTCTTCTCTCTCCCCCCCTTTCTCCTCCCCCCCTCCCCCCCCCTCCCCCACAAAACCACCACCTCTAACGACCTCTCTCTTCTCTCTCTCCCCCCCCACACAGGAACTGTTTCGAAGCGACCAGCGCGTGACCCTGTCTCTCACCAAGCTCTCCGTGTCAGCCTCAGGTCAATACAGGTGCGAGGTCATAGCCGAGCACCCGAGCTTCCGAACAGAGGCCTCTACTGCTACGATGACCGTGCTGAGTGAGTACTCTGTGACCTTGTTTTTGGGGGGGTTAGTTAGTGGAGGTGAGTGGAAGGGAGGAGGAGGTGGAGGAGGAGGAGGATGGATGGAAGGGAGGGGGAGGTGGGAGGAAGAGGTGGAGGAGAGGAATAGGAGGAGGAATAGGAGGAGGAGGATGGAAGGGAGGAAGAGGTGGAGGAGTTGGGGAAGAGGAGGAGGAGAGAGAGGAAGAGAAGGAGAGGAGTAGGAGGAGAGGAGGAGGAGGAGGAGGAGGAGTGAAGGAAGGAGGAGGAGAGGAGGAGGAGGAGGAGGGGGGGAGGGAGGAGGGAGGAGAGGAGGAGAGGAGAGGTGGAGAGGAGGGTAGGGGCGGAGAGGTGGGAGTAAGAATGGAGGAGGAAGAGGTAGGAGGAGAGAATAGAAGGAAGAAGAAGAGGAAGGGAGGAAGGGAAGACAAACATACACAGACATTCACTCAAGTAACCCCCTCCCACCAAAAAAAAAAAATCATATAGCATTAATTGATTATTAAGAAGGAAGCATAAAAATCCTATACCAAATAATTAATTAATTAAGGAGGGAAGAAAGAAAGAAAGAGAGGAAGGAAGAGAGAAGGAAGAAAAGAAGATAGAAGGAAGTTTAGTTGATGATGGATAAAGGAAAAGAAGGGAGCGATAGAAATATATAGTAGGGTAGTTTTTTTTCGTTTTTATTTTTATTTATTTTTATTTTTAATCTATTTATTTATTTTTTTTTACTTTCGAGGCTGTGTTTTGAAATTTGTGAGTGGATAAATTACTTTTGTGGAGGGTATATTTTTTATATTTATTTCTATTTATTTACTTATTTATTTATTTGCATTTTTGAGTGTGTTTTGGATTTTGTGAAAGGATTGATGATTTTTTTTAGGGGGGGGTTACTTTGAGCGAATTTTTAAATCTGTGTATGTTTGTGTTTGGAATAATGATGATGAGAGGATAGTGAGATAATGATAACAATAATGATGATGATGATGAGATAGTGATGATAATGATAAACAATAATGATGATGATTGAAGACGATAGTGATTAATGCATAATAATAATGATGATGATGATTAGGATTCAGTGAGAATGATAATCGCATAACAATAATGATGATGATGATGAGGATTAGTTGATGTTATGATAACAATAACTGATGGATGATGAGCGTGATAGTGATGTAATGATAAACAATAATAATGATGATGAT